TGCTTTAGTATGCCTAGTAATTTTCGATTTTTTGGCAAGATTCACAGGATTTCACCCAATTTTTGATATGACGTTTCATATCGGGCCATACATAACGAGAACAAATAAGCTTCGTAGTAGCTGCAATTCCTGGATGTGACAGATTATGCAGATGATTAAAGATGAGTCTGCGAAAGGAATTCGGAACAAATGGACGAGGAATGTCTGTTGATATGTCACACAGAATATTACCATCAGAATATTGGCCGGTTTAAATTCCAGTTTCAAAGATGAGTGTTGTTTTGAGAAGGTCTGTACTCCGGATTCATGCCTTTGAGCTTCCGAAAATTTTTAAAATCCAAAAAATGGAGATTTGTTATGGAATCAAGTTCGATTCTTGAAAGAGCGTCAGCAACGACGTTTTTTGAACCTTGCACATGGCCTAATATCAGTAGAGTACTGAGAAAAAATCTAAATGTCGCAATTGTCGAGGGAGGTGAACATTTATGAGGGTTCTGTTTAAAGCGTATATTAACGGTTTTGATCCGTATAAATTATAAAATTTCTGCCCTCTAACATGTGTCGGAATTTCTTAATTGCAGAATAAATAAATAGAAAATAATTCCCTATCGTACGCGGACCATTTCTGTTGACTTTTATTGAGTTTTCATAGAGGGAAAAATGCTATAGGTTCCCATGTTTGTTGAGACAACTGCATAAGTGTGCCGCCTATTGCGACGTCTGAGGCATCTACCCAGATGCTTAGCTGGGCTCCGGGAATAGGGTGTCTCAAAAGGGTAGCCTGAGCAATGGCATTTTTGGCAGCAATAAAGGCTTGTTCAGCATCCTCGTTCCAATTTAATTGTGGGGATGAATCCTGAACACGAGAACGAGATTTCTTTTTATTAATATAGCCTTCTAACAATTTTATTAAAGGAGAAAGAATATGTGCTGCTTTAGGTATGAAACATCTATAAAAGTTAAACATGCCTAAAAATCGGCGAAGCTGAGTGAGAGTAGTAGGTTGAGGAAAATCTAAAATACATTTGACTTTGTCAGGAAGAGGTTCAATTCCGTTTTCACTAAGGTGAAAACCTAAGAAATCAATAGATGTTTGACCAAAGGTGCATTTTGAAACATTTATGCAAAGTCCATAATCCTGAAGTTTGGAAAATAAAGCTTTCAAATGCCTGCAATGTTCCTCAGAATCTTTAGAGGCTATGAGCAAGTCATCGACAAAAGCGTAAACGCCTTCTAAATCCCGCGTGACTTCATCTATAAAGCGTTGAAAAGTCGCGGATGCATTGCATAAGCCGAATTGCATACGGATACTTTCGAATAAAACCGAATGGTGTGCATATGGCGGTTTTGTGGATGTCGGCTGGGTTAATTGGTATTTGATGGTATGCCTTAATCAGGTCGACATGACTAAAATTTTAGTACCGTGCAATGCAGCAGTAAAATCGGCTAAGCATGGAATAGGGTATTTGTCTTTATTGTTTGAGCGTTCAATGCTCGATAATCTCCTACAGGTCTCCATTCCAGACTTCCCTTTTTTGGAACCATGTGAAGTGGGGATGCATAATTGCTGCTCGAAGGTCTCAAATGCCCCAATTGCATCATAGTTTGAATTCTTGTTTTGCTATTTTTAAGCGATCTGGAGCTAACGACGAGGTTTGCAACCACAGGTGGACCTTTAGTTATGATATAATGAACGGTGTTATGTTTAACAGTTGGTTAGGATCTGGTAATCTAGTAACTGAAGGAAATTTTTTAAAATTTTGTGATATGGGGTATCATCACTAAATACAGTTTTTACTGAATAAATGCTTGCATTTTCACGCAACCGACGGTTTTTTTAAAATGCGTTTTAAATCTTTGAGACATTTGTTTCTGAGATCAGGCACCAATTCAAAAGAATGGAGAAAATCTGCTCCAAGAATGGGTGTACTAAAACATTGCTATAAGAAAAGTCCATGTAAACTGTCGTCTTAATTTGAAATCCAAAGAAAGTGTTTTTTGACCATAAAACATGAATAGTAGAAAGTAGAAGAATTAGCAGCGAAAAGTGTTTGTTGGGACGAATTCCGTTTTTGAGAATATTTGCTGGAAGTAAGGACACGTCAGAGCCGGTATCGACCAAGAATGAAAGGTTTGTTCTACGGTCACGAACGAACAGGCGACGTGAAAACTTGAGGCAAAGAATAAGTCGCCTCTATTCTTTGCTGGTTTCGTTTCCCTGCCATGAACAAGGTTTTGGTACATTTGTCATCTCTACACTTTTCCTAAAACGTCTTGATACCAGCAAACAGAATAATCTCTCCTTTTGGAATTGCTTCTTTCCTTATTGCGATCTCCGCGATTTGGCGAGCGACCACGAGAAAGAGAAATGCGATCAATACGTTGTTTAATTTTTCTATTTGTTTAAATAATTTACCTCAAGAGACTGATCGACTGTGCGAGAAACGGCACAAGTCCCTGGGGTTGGATTTACTTCTAAAATTCTGTCGGCAATTTCTGCAGCTTTATCTGCAGTTAAATTGGAAACCGCTGCCAAAAATAGACTGAACAGTCGAAGGCAAACGTTGAAGGAATAATTCTAACATTAAGTTATCTGGAACATTTAAAGATTCTGCTTCGACGTTTCATATTTGCTAAGCAAATCGGATAGGTTTTCAGAGAACATAATTCCTTCTCCAGATAATAATTGGCGAATTTCTTGCTGAGAAGATTCTCCCGAACGATTTATTAAATCAGTTTTAAGCTTTGCATATGGATCAATAGGGTCTGGTTCATAAGTAAATCCCGTACTATTGAGATGCAATATCTGGAGGAAGATGAGCAACTACATAATTATATTTAGTAATGGATTCTGTGATAGGTTTGGGGGTGGCAAGAGCAAAGGTACTTTCACACATAATAAACCATAAAGATGGGTCTGATTCGGTTATAAACCGGAATTTGGACGGCATGAACATCAGACATTGTGCAAGGTTTTTAAGCCAAAAATAAAAGCAAAAATTTTACTAAAGAAAATGAAATTAAATGATAAGTAGAAAACAGAATTATAAAATGATCTATAATTGCTACTCATCTGTGATCCGGAGGACGAAAACCGATGTAATCCATTACTTCTGGTTTGGAGATCTTGAGTGATGGCTTGTAGTCAAAACCGAAAGTGCTTGAGAACTGTTCATACGATTTAACACAGTCCGGGTTACCATTATGGAAATTTCCTGTTATGTTTTTACCACCAATCCTCGAATTCCATATCACAGATTATGTTCTTACTGCATTAATATAATATTAACAAGACATAGTGCACAATAAAAATTAAGCTTTATTTAGGAACTTCGCGCACACTGCCCGACAGCCTGCCTGTTTCGCTCTGCTCGCTACTCGTAAGAAACTTCTCCTCTAGGGTTGCCACACTTATCGGAGGGCGCAAGGCGCGCTCCTTATCGCCATCACCACACCCTCACAAAATCGTTTGGCTCCTCCCACTAATGAAATTTCCTTCCTGTCATGAAAAATCTGAATAATGCAAAAAAAAAATATTGTTATTCTTGAATTATACATTTTATAGAAATATATGGCGATAAGGATTAGTTTAGCAAATATATTTTATTTTGTTATTGAAAACAATTAAAAAAGGGAATTTTTAAGACAAGCAAAGATATAAATTATTTGTAACCTCTATAATTTGCAGTTCATGCCAACATTCTTGAGATAAAAATTCTGCAACATTTTATTGACCACGCCTCTCGCACAAAATACTTACTTAGTTTAATGTTTATAACCCTAAACTAGTGCATAATGTTCAACTTAGAAGTAAAATATTCTTTACGGTTTTGATTTATTCACAACTGAAGCTGCAGAAGGAGGGGACCACAAACCAAGTACGGCGGAGCAAAGCGTCACCTCAAAAAGTCAGCGTAATGTGGTGCCATCTATCGATGCTAGATTTAACTAGATTAATCACGTAAATAGAAAATATTATGTATTGTGTTTTGAAAATCGTGATGTGTAATTTTTAATGTAATATGTTATAATTATGTTTTCTTATAAAATATAACTTTTCGCAATATCTGTTAAAAATGTATAAATTTTCATTTCATTTTTCATTAATTATATTTATTTTTTCTCTTTCATTCCTTCTCTTTCTCGTTTCTGGTTTAGCTTTACGGATAATTTCTGAAGATCATATTAAAATGTACTTAAGTGACCGCCGTACTTAGCTAAAAAAATTCTTTTTACCTTTCGAAACCTCCGGACTAAATGTCTTGACAGTTAAGTGTCACGTAGTTAAATGTCTTGACGGCTAACTCTCTGTGTCGGCAAAATGTCCTGACGGCTAACTCTCTGTGTCGGCCAAATGCCCTGTCGGCTAACTGTCTGTGTCGGCTAAATGTCCTATCGGCTAAGTGTCCATGTCGGCTAAAAATGTCCTGTCGGCTAAGTGTCCATGTCGGCTAAATATCCTGTCGGTTAAGTGTCCCGTCGGCTAAGTGTCACGAACCCAAAAATTTAAAAAGGGAAAGGAATAAAAATGCAGGTAAATAATGGATAAGTTTGAGCAATTTGAAATATTAAAAATATATATATATATATATATATATAACAAAATAAAAAATATGATAACAAGATACAAAATATGTGCATATGTAAGAGGAGATATATACATAAAACAATACGCATAAGTTCAATATACTATAATACAAGTGCTGCATAATAATGGAAGTAACAGTAAGAAAACATTAATCAGTATATACATTAAGTATGGCCATAAGGCGTAAGGCGTATGCAGTTAGCAGGATCATTAATGTCGTAATTTTATATATTATAATGGCAGGGTTTTGAATATTTTTTTGGCTTTCGAAAAAATTCCTTGCTAATTTACAATCACGGAGTATACACGATCTGTATGTGTCTGTGTGTGTGTACAATATATAAATAATTCTATTGGTTCAATTCGGTTGGTAAATATCGGCAGGCAAAAAGACAAAATCCTATCTGCAATAGTGCTTCTTCTGTTGTGAAATGAAACTTTGTAGAATTGGCAAACAAAACATAGAACTGGTATAATTTTTTTAATTATTGTAGTGTCATTTATGCTGTGATTTTCATCGAGAATTTATTTTATAGTCTATTACTTGGGATCAGTTTATGTGCTAAAGTGAGTATGTTTAATTCTTCAATGGGAATTCTGAACAATTAGTTTTGTGATTGATTATTCTGTCCTTTCAGAATAATGTGTCATTATTTTGCTTATATATTTGCATTATTTAATTATTTAAAGAAGTCAATATAAACTGTCTAAGTGAATGTGAAGGTTTATCTGTGGTTATTTTGCAGTGATACGAGCTTTACAGTGATACGAATTCAAAGCTTGTGCTCATCACTTAAGAGAAATTTATTCATACTTTGTTAATTAATGCATCAAAAGTATTTTGTTATTTGGTTTAAATTTCGTACGATATGTATTATTTTAAATGATTCTTTTAAGGAAGAAAACTGATGGGATTTAATGCCTTGATCCTTTTGATTAGAAATCAGTACCAACACTGGATTTTTCCGAATTGCAAAATGCCTAGCTTCCTAGTTTGTATATTCCACATTAGGTAAAGGATGTAGTTTGTATTTGTGTATAATTATTATACCAAATTTGTTTTCCCCCCTAATGCTGCTAATACCACCATTAAACTTGGGCGCAAGTTCCATCCTCCATCGAGAGATAGTCCTTGTGAGAATATTAACAACTTCACAATAACATGTAAAAAATGGAAAGATGTTTAAACTTCTAAATAAACATAAGGTCGTGCAAAATTAGGAAGACACCCAGAAGTTAAAAAGGTAAGCTGATTACTACAAAACATAAAGGTGAACTAGGCATAATATAGCAAGCACGAAAAGGTAAAAGTAAAGTTTAGGGTACCCCTTGGCGATTTTTGGCGGTACATGGATACCGATTTTGTGCAATTCTTTGACTCGTTATTTTGGCTTGCGAAGCAGCGACTTTTGCGCCAAAAATTGCCGCTACACAAAGCCAAAATAACAAGACAAACAATTGAACAAACTCGGTATCCATGTACACGTTGACTTATTTTCACTTAAATAAAAATCCTTGAATTGCACCAAAATGGCATTGTGCACTCCTTTGACTTTATCCATCTACACCTCGACCTATTTTCACTTTAAAAAAATCCCCGAATTGCACAAAAATGACATTGCGCACTCCCTTTACTTTGTCCATGTATACATCGATATATTTTCACTTAAAAAGTCAAAGGAGCACCAAATTCTACAGTATAGGTAAACAAAAAATACATAATCTCAATAAAATACATTTTAAACCAAACAATAAAATAGCATAAAAAAGGAAAAACATGTTATACATTTAAGCACTACCAAAAGCAAATATTCACTCACCATGATTTTCGAGTTTGCTTCATACATCCAGAGCCACGTAAAAATCAAAATATCAATCATACTCAAATGACGTTTTTCAAATCAGGTACTTTTTTTGATTGAACGCTTCACATAGTGACCATCGGAACCTTTCTTCCTACAAATCCATATAAGCGGTTTTTATGCTCGACTAGACGCATATTATTGCTACATACAGGACACTTATTATGGCTACTAAGTAAACCTTCATTTACACACCAGTCAATTAAAGCTCTTTTCCCCTTTTGCTCCAAATCGTACAGAAATTTCAAATTACAAATTAATCTTACTACATTTGGCCATTCTACCGTCTAAAGAATCAAACCAACACACACCACAAAAACGCTTACAAAACATCCGATCATTCAAAATTTCCTAGAATCATGCACCCGATTATGTCACAGTAGGGTTTCCATAACATTCAACTACTCAGGCTACCATAAATGAAACAACTTTGCCAGAATACAAGGGGTACCTTAAAGTCTACTCTACCCACACGAAAATTTCAGAGCGCATAGTAAATTATGTAAACCATCAACAAAGATTCAAAACATACAATTTAAAGTTACCAAAAATATACACATTAATTTGGCATCGAAAAATTGAAATGAAAAGAAAAGAAAGGAGTATACATCTAATTTGGTATTTCCAAGCAAATTTTCACCAAAAATTTAGTTAATCTTTGGATTATGGTAACTTGCCGAAAATTTGGCGACCAACCCTGCTACAACAACCTGTTAGTTTTTTTTGGGGGGGACGCCATTTTGTTTTCACAAAGTAAAGGTTTTTTTTTTTTTTTTCAACTTTTTTTTCCAACAATCTGCTAGCCGAATTACACTTATGCTAGAACTTTTATGGAACAAAAGTGCTTCATCATAATGAAAATTAGGTGCGAAATTGGGAGAAAGTCGCCCATTGCTTGCCGCGTTTTTAAGAATTGCACTTACACGGTATCCATATATACGTCGACCTATTTTCACTTAAAAAAACATCCCAGAATTGCACAAAAATATCATTGCGCACACTCTTGATTTTATCCATGTACACTACTAGTAACCTTTATCGCCTTACCTTATATTAAGACCTAGCTAGTAACCTTTATCGCCTTACCAAAATGTCGCCAAACTACCTGTTACCATATTCCAAAGATTAGCCTATTTCTTCGAATATTGAAAATAGTACAAAAATTTGTCATTTTGAATTGGGGCTTTCTTAATTTCAGACTTTTTCCTGCTGTGGCATGTATGATGTCTGACATAGAAAATTCAGAAAACATTTTATTTATTTCTTTTCAAGAAATCATTTTTATATTAATAAAATTTCCCAGAATTGAGTGCTCTTTTGTAGCTTTAGGAATACTATTTTTAGTCCCTTTCCATCGATCTGAAACTTTTCTAAAAATAATATTTAAAGGTTTTTTTATTTAGAAATGGTTTGATCATTTTTTAGTTTAATTAGTAACAATCTTTTCCACCAAATTTATAGTCTGCTTCTCCTTTAAGACATTTGGATTGTTTCGACCCTCGTTCTCGGGTCAGCCACGTGGTTCTTTTCTTCAAAATTAAAGGATTTTTTTAGGGTATAATTTAAAATTTGTTTGCATGAAATTACAGTTACAGAACTTCAAGTTTTTTACACAGTTAGCTTAATTGGTCACCAGTACATTTAACACACCTCAGCATGAGTTTACACTCATCCTAGGGGCAAAAGAAATGCTGGCAATTAAGACACTCAGCCACACCACCCTTTAGTTTATATATTTCAAATGGTACATGAAAACATAATAAACTTTGAATTTGACTCAGCCACACCACCCTTCAGTTTATATATTTCAAATGATGCATGAGAACATAATAAACTTTTAATTCCATAAATTTTCTCTGTTCCTGGCTTGTTTGCACATGGAATGTGCTAATTGCACATGGAATGGAGGTATAGGAACAGGTGTACAAAATTTGTATATTAGATTTATTCTCACAACATTGAAATCTTCAGCAATTAACTCATTCTTAATATCCTCTGCAGAAGTGTTTGCTGGAATCCCTCGTAATACAACTTTAAATGATATAGCATTAAGAGTTCATCATATAATTTATATGAGATTGATTACTGTTATTTATCCAGTAATAAATAATTCTATGAGCTTCTATATCAGTGAGGTATATTTTCAAAAATTCATGTTCTATTCTGACTGTGAAGAAGTCTATGCGAGAAATATTTTTGTGCCATGCAGAGCTGTTGCAAATTCACAAATTTTGAGAATAGGGTACTTATCCTTCACTTTCTAAGCATTTAATATCATGCCGTTCATTTGTACCTTTCTTTGTCCCCATGTGAAGAGGACAGAAGTAATTACATTTGGAGGGTCGCATCTGTCATTATTATTAGGCCTAAATTGATCTTTTTTTTTTAATTTCATTTTTAACTGTTTTTAATGTATCTAGAGCTAATCTCCCAAGCTTACATGAGGCAGGAATACCTACTGTTACAATGAAATGCATAATATTATGCTTAACATTTTCATTAAGACCAAAAAGTTTTAACAGTGTAGGGTAGTTAGGCAGTTATTTATCTTATGCCGTATTTTCAGTAATTGTTTCGATAGAATGTAAATGTGGTTAAAGATACTACGATTAATTTTTAAATTACAAATATGATTAATGATACTACGATTAATTTTTAAATTACAAATATGGTTAATGATACTACGATTAATTTTTAAATTAGCCTTTACATCAACAAGTTTTCTATACCTTAAGTCTGGTAATAAAATAAGATCCAATGATTTTTGTTGACACTTTACATATGTAAAAAAACACAATTTAAATTGCAACAATTTCTGAGGTGAAACCTTTAAATTTTTTTTGTCTGTAAACTGGAATTACAGTATCATTAGCATCAATGAACATCAGAATAGATGCCTGATCAGCTTCTTGTTTGGTTGCTGAGAGGAGACTTATTACTCAGCCAGTGTCACACAAAATGATAGTACTATTAGTTCATCTGTTCTTAATAAAAATGCAACGAGACTCGGAAAGTAAAGCGCAAGTTGCCTCTTTTCTTTCTTTGCTTCATTTCTCTGAAATGAACAATGGATGAATAATTTTTTAGGTTTTTCATTAAATTTATGATGGTACCAGCAATGTGAAGAATTCAGAGCAGCTTTCGCTGAAGGACTTCAGGTTCTGTTAACGTGATTTTTAGAAACACTCGTGTAACAACAGTACTTCACTACATAATTTATACACTTCATCCAGCAGGGAATCCGAGTTTGAATTATGAGATACGTTGACTGATGAAGATGAAAAAATTATACTTAACTGAATTGGTGTGACATCTTAGATAAACTTGGCAATGCTGGTAGCTTTTGAAGAATCAAGGGGGATCAACAGATTCAAGAATAAATTGGATCTTTTGCAAATTTGCTTAGGAAACAACTCCAATAACAGTGAATCTGATATATTGTGTTTTTCCCCTTGTGTTTTCATGATATGAAGCAATTCAGATGACTTTCTGTCTTCAAGTTGGTCCCTGGTGAGTAATTTTCGGATTTCCTGAGTACTACTTTCCCCAGAATACTCGATAATGATGCTAGTCATCTCCTGAGAAGAAACATCAGTATGCCTCGAAGTATATCTCGAACCAAAGAATTGGTCTCCAGCAGCAAATAAGTGATACAGTAGTTGAATTTTGTTTTGGGGCGTACAAGAGAGAGAGATGGCATGCTGTAAATACATAGTTTAGCTTTCAGTATATTTTTTCATTATTATTATTTTGATGGTAATGTGTTATTGTGTGTAATTCATTGATTAAATTTCACTATATTTAAGTTATATGAACATCAATAAATTTAGTAGGTCTTAGAATACATCACCCTGGGATATAAGAGCACATTTATTTTTACACTTATTCTTACATAAGTGTGTGTGAAAACTATGATTTTAATGCAGTAGTTGTTTCATTTACTTCTCTTATATAAAACGTGTCATATAGTACTAAGGTTTTTTGCACATATTTTAAATGATTTTTATTGCATTTACAGAAATATTTTACCCAAAATTTTTGGGTTTTAAATATTCAATTTGATTACCCTTATTCTTCACAATCTTTCTATAATTTCCGTAATTTCCAAGAGAATAAAGCTTCTTTTTAGTAGCAAAAGAGGTATTTTATCCTATTCCGCTTGAATAGCTTTCCAAAGCCAGGGAGGGTTGTAGATATCTGGACAATCCATTTTTTAAAAGTCAGAGAAGCACAAAAGTCCGTGGATGATACATCAGGAGATTTACTAGGGATATGATTGAAGGGTATGGCCTTGATATAAGCTTCTTGTTTCCCCCCCCCTCCCCCATAAAATTAGATTGGATTTTGATGTGTGGCTGCTTACTTCGCCTTGATGCAGTTCTAGTGATTAATGACACTGTGGGTAGAGGGAAGATATTTCATATTTGAAAACTAGGCATAAAATACATTCCTGATAATATGTAGAGTTGACCTTAATAGTTCTCTGCACTCTATTTAATTTTTATTTTTTATATCAAAAACCAGCAACAATCAAAATCCCTTTGAAAAACTTTCTGTAGATTCTTTGAACAAGATTATTTCCTTCCCTTTGATGATAATAAATGTATCTCTTTTTATTACAGTCATTTAAATACACCAAGACCACTCGTCTGTTATGACAATATTTTTCCATTTTTTCCGAATAATTGTTTCTTGTAAAGAATTTCTGCAGCATGTTCAGCTTTTGCAATTTGTCATGGAGAAAGACAATGCATATTATGTTTTTTCACCTTTTTAAGATTCAAATCAGCATTAATCATATTGTTTATAGTTGACATGGAACATTTTAATAACTATGCAACTGTCCTTTTGACATCGAAAATTCTTATCTTTGCAACATTGAAAACCTTCCGTTTTTTCATTGGATACATATTTTGTACAGTTTTCCTCCTTGAAGCCAAACCTTGACATGCTTTTCCTTTCTTATTGAAAATATTATCTATTTCTGCTTTAGATATTGAAAATTCATGGTTTCCACAGCATTTTTTAATAACTAAATACAGATAATTTTCTTCGGAAAGAGTGCAAACATAGTCTTCCCTCCACTGCTTCTTTAACTCTTTGAAATCCAGATCCTTCACTAAGCTATATCCTCAAAATAATCTCCCAAACCGCCCAAAATACTTTTCCAGTTTCACAGCAATTTTCTCCCCTCCCCGTCCATTAACTCAGAAAATGGGTGTGAAGATTTCAAATGGCATCCTTTGTACTTTCTAAAAAAGATTACATTAGCCTTTGACCCCATTCTTTATAACCTATTTTGAAGGTCAGACAAACAAGCCTTTCTGGCTTTGTTATGATCACGATTGAGATTTTGTTTACTTCCCTTATTTTTATAGGAAAGAATAAATTGATAAAAAATAAATATAATCCTTAAATTTTTTAACTGCACTTTTATTGCTGTTTAAAATTTATGATAAAATAGATCTGGTTTTTAAAGATATTTTTTTAGATATTTATTTAGATTTTATTTATATTTATTATATTGATTTTAAAGATATTTATTTAGATATTTTGTCATAATTCTGTTAAGTACCGACATATTCCTGGGTTTTTACAAAGGATATAAAATAGATCCCACTAAGCAAAATACGTATATTTATTATTATCACGTGCAACGTAAATACGAGCCAATTTTTGTTGGGAAAATCACTTCCATGCCTTCGTCAATCCTCTTGTACTTTGCCACATACAATAGGCTACTTTAACACCCCGTCATGAATATAATATAAATAAATAATTTTCATTTTTAAAATTTCATTTTTACAGGAATTTATTGTTGTTTTCTTTTATTGAATAGAGGATTAAGATTTCACTTCATGTACTTTCTTTCTTTTCACATTAAGTTGCTATTTTTTAGTTAATGTGGTGCACTTTCTGCTCATTTTCTTCACCATTTCATTTCCAAGCATTGTGTTATTTGACCAATAATCACTTATTCTTGGTAATTTTACATTTCTCATTATGAGAAGGACTGTAATGAATGCCCGTATTTCTTCTATGGATGAATTTTTTTCCCATTGACGATCAACAGTGCCATGCTTTCTTGCACAGAATTCAGCATATTTATTTGTATTTGTGAGAATTAATTCACAACTTTCATCCGTAAGAAACAACTCTATATTGTAAAGGTGACGCACCAATAGGTAAATCCTGAATTGGTCCCGAAAAGCTGTTAAAGGGGGACAGAATTACGGCATCATTATTAACATTAGTAGACCAGGTTTTTACTGGAATTTCATTACAATTTTCTGAAACCTCTGCTTCCAGATTTATTCTGTGCTCATCTTCATCTTCTGCTATAAATGTTTCTTCTTCATTATCATTTATTTCATTTTCTATTTCTTTCCTATCGCCGTCTTCTGATTCCAAATCTGACTCATCTGTATCATTAAAAAGAATAGCCTCAATTTCTTGTTGATTTAAAACTTTGCGATATTTGCGCATTTTGATTAAAAGCACACTCTACCAAAAAGTATCAACAACAAGCTACCTAAGATAACAAATCTCTTAGGACAAGCTGTCTGCAGTAAACTGATACAAAGCATTGGGGAATAGCACCAGCTACTGCATATCTTAGGGGAAGGAAAGAAAACAAGATTGCAATCTCGGCTGTTTTCGGGCGGTTCTGGTTGTCTCAATGTAGAGCCGTGTCGGGCGGATTGGCTGTGAAGGAGTTAAAAGTGCCATTTTGCATGAAAACAAAGTTGTCAAATAGCAGATTATTTTCAGTAATAAATTCATTAAATTTCATTAAGTCATTCATTGAATTTCAATGCTAATTATTAATTGAAATTTATTGAATATATTCAATAAAATAAATATTTAAATAAAGACACATATAACTTTTTACTTAAATTATTTATTCATTTGCATATTCTTAATACATTTAATCTTATTTTTGATACAGGTAAATCATGCCAAAACATGGATTTCTCACTCCAAAAGCGATTGCTAATCGCATCAAAGCAAAAGGCTTACAGAAATTGCGTTGGTACTGTCAAATGTGTCAAAAACAGTGCAGAGATGAAAATGGTTTCAAATGTCATACAATGTCAGAATCCCATCAACGACAACTTCTTCTATTTGCTGAAAACCCAGATAAATACATAGATCAGTTTTCACAGGAATTTTTAGATAGCTTTATGCAGTTGTTGCGTAGACGTTTTGGTACAAAAAGAGTTCATGCAAATCAAGTATATCAAGAGTACATTGCAGATCGTAATCATCTGCATATGAATTCGACACAGTGGGAAACATTAACAGAGTTTGTAAAATGGTTAGGGCGTGAAGGTCATTGTGTGGTAGATGAAACAGAAAAAGGATGGTTTGTGACTTACATTGATAGGGATCCTGAAACTATCAGACGACAAGAAGCATTAGCCAAGCAAGAGAAAATGAAATTAGATGATGAAGAAAGAATGGCCAAATTCTTTCAAAGGCAGATGGAGAGAGACAGAGAAAAAACAGGCATTTTGCCTGAACCGGTGTATACAGAGTTGAAGAAAACTAGTGAGGAAGAAAAAGTCACTTTTACTATGAAAGCTGCTGATAAAGTAAAGAAACCTGTATTGGATATAAAACAAAATCCTTTGTTGGCATCATCATCTTCAAAAATTCTCCCTGAAAGTGTATCTAAAAAGGGTAAAGAATCAAATTCAAAAGATAAAAAAAGAAAATTAGCATTAGAAGAAATAATGGAAGAAGAAGCACAAATTCGAGAAAAAAAGAACAGGAAAGATTATTGGCTTGCACCTGGAATAGTTGTTAAAATAATGACTAAAAAGTTTGGTGAAGAATTTTACAAAGAAAAAGCAATTATCAAGGATGTAAAAAACTGTTATTCAGGTAGTGCACAGTTAATTGAAACAGGGGAAAAAATTGATGTTGATCAAAAAGACTTAGAAACTGTTATTCCTGCTATTGGTAGAAAAGTTCTTATACTGAATGGATCTTACAGAGGCTGTGAAGCAGTTTTGCTAAAAGTAAATATTGAGAGTTTTTCTGTGAATGTTCGAATAGCCTCTGGAGCTTTTAAAGGAAAAGTCATGGAATCCATAAAGTATGAAGATGTTTCTAAACTACATGTGCAGTCTTGATGCATAGATGTCCTTAATGAACCTGTAAATTATCATTATTTTTATATGATAAAAATGAACACATTTTATTTTAAATTATTTTTATAAATATGTTTTGCAATTTAAAATGTGCTTCTGACTTATTGTGTGACCAAAAAATTTTTATTGTTTAATGTAACAAAGTATTTTAATGATGAATGAAGAAAATTGTAAATATAAAATACGGTACTATTCCGTTTTGAGGACCGTAAAAAATCGCCAAACTATTGTTGATGCCATTGCTGTCAAAAATAATTGTGGCAACCCTAACGCAAGAAAGGAAGTATAATAGTAAATTTAAGATTTTGTTTTAATTCAGATAAAAGGTTAATTTCATTTAATACTTTATTATAATTTATATAAAATGGGATAAACATAACTGAATGGAAGCATAAGAGTAAATAACTATTTCAGATCATTATTATAATTTATATTAAAAAAGGCTAAACATAACTGAGTGGATTCCTGCATCGCTATTTTTGCTACCGAGTTAACGCTAAAGCATTATTTCACCTCGTTAGTTGTTCAAACATAATTTTCTGTAGCGAATGATGCTTTTTCTTTGAAAAAATTTCTATTGCAGACTTTTCGTCACTGGGCAGTTTCCAAATTCTTAAATCAACAGTGTCATCAAAAAAGGATTTAAAAATTAAACTAGTATTTCAATGCCGTCTTAAGAAATATAGAACTATCTAAACTTTGAAATCAGCACGTACGCTAGATTTGGCCCGCTATTAATTGGTCACGTTTCCTAGATTTGGCGCTTTTGCACATACATTTTCGCTGCAATTTTTTTTACGGTCCTCAAAACGGAATAGTACCTAAAATACTATGCTTTGATGAATGGTAAGTGCTGATAAAGTTGAGTAGAGGGTAAAAATATAAGGTTTTCAGTTTTCTTCCACAGCAGAAAAATCTGGGGGGGAAAAAAAAATGGCTGGAAGAAATAGGTTTCTTCCTCTTAAGTTGAAAAAATGTAAGAAACTAGTTTTTAACTTATTTCATGTGTATATTATTATATCTATATTTTATTCATATCTGGCACTGTTATATTTCAAACTTAAGTTAATGTTATATCGATAATTTATATTCCTTTATCTTTCACTTTGGTAGTGTTTTTTATATATATATAAACTCAATTTCGCACTAAGTGAATTTAAGATCATACAACATTATATATATATATATATAAATATTTTCATTTTCTGTCTAATTCCGACGCTTCATTTGTATGCTTGCATTAACACCTTTTTCAGGGAGTTACACACGCACTTGTATATATATATATAATGACAAAAAGTAAGAAATTTAAAAACTTTTTGTCCACTTTTCGAGCACCTATTTTTAAAGAATAATTAATTTTAAATTTAGTTAAAGTTTTACACTGAATGATCTTCTTTATATCCATTTTTGTTTTAAAAGTGCCAGAATTAACTTCAATTTAATTTTAATTAGGAAAGTAATCTTTTTCTTTGTCAAAATTAAAATTTTCATGAAGTATTTTAAAGTTCTTTTTGTTGTTGTTGTTGTTGTTGTTGTTTGTTTCAAAATTTCATTTTTTGTTCCAATTTTTAGCCTTTTGAGTGATTACTTTCTCGCCAAAGTATTTTAGCTTCGCCAATGAAGCCAAAAAGGCAAACCTATACGTCACTACTGTAATGATATTCATAGTTTTAACTGTGTTCTAATGAAAGTGCTCGAAGTTTTTAATTACTTCTTATGAGTTTTAATGTTTTCAGTAAAGTTTTATAATTTCACTTACATTTTAAATTCTTTGGATTATATGCTATTTGTTCAACCCTTTGCTGGGCTGTGGGATGTCAGGCATCCCGCCTTTATCAGTTTTTATTTCCAAGATGAAAGCTGCAAAATTCCATTTAAAATACATACAATTATACCTTTTAGTTTATCTATAACAGATGGCAGCACTGGTATTCATAAATAATGTAAGAAAAAAAAGTCTTTGCAGTCTAATTTTAAAGCATTTTTTTTTTTTTTTTTTTTTTTTTTTTTTTTTTTAATTTCTTATGCGATATAAATCGCCTGGACAGCAACTTTTGGTGTTGGAATGAATATTTTTATCTTAAGATTTCTTTTCAGGTCAAGATTATTATTAGAATTCATGTATATTAATTAAAAAATATTTGAAATTTAAAGGTGGGATGCATTTGTCCCACCGCGCATGTAGGAAATCCTGCTACTAGATGGCAGCACCATTGAAAAGTTTTCCCAAGAATTTCTTGCAGTGTGATTTTGATGCTTCCAGTTTAATTTTCTGAATTTTCTTCTTAGATTTACTTTATGGTTATTTTGAAGTGCACCATTCTTTAGTTTTGTAACATTATAGCAAGAAAGAAGCTGAATATTTCAGAAGCTTTTGAACTCCTTCCTTCCGACACAGAATCCGGAGATTCCAATTCGCATGATAATGAAGAAGAATATGTTCCTGGTGTACTAGGAAATTGATCAGTGCGGAGAAACTTTGAGTGATCATGAGAATTTTCCTGAAGATTCAGGTTCTAAAAACTCAGATTTTACTGCCCCAGGATAATAGCCAATAATTCCTACATGGAATAAGAGATTCATGAGCTCAAGCTCACAAATATTTATTTAAAGAACTGACCCATCAGATGAATTAATGTCTTTGGAGGAATTTTTGCCCATAAATTTATTTCTGACTGTATTGACCTGTAGTTTTATAGAGAGCCTGGTTTTCCAAACAAGCCTCTACGCAACCCAAAAAGGCCAAACTTTCACTCCAACAACACTGGAAGAAATGTTTTGCTTTTTCGGCATAAATCTGTATATGGGATTAAAAAAAATTCCTAGCTATAGAGATTATTAGTCTACTTCACCAGTACTACATGATGATTATATAATGAAACATATGTTATCAGAAAGATTTAGTTGGCTGCTATTGAATTTGCATCTAAATGATAACAGTGTGCAGCCTAAAAGGGGTGAAAGAAATTTTGATAATCTTTACAAACTGTGTCCTCCTCACAATCATTTGTCAGAAAGATTCTCTCTTTATTTTAACCAAGTAAAAATCAGTCTATTGACGGATCAGTGATAAAATTTAAAGGTGTAATTCATTTAAGCAATATATGCCAAAAATGCCAATTAGAGGGTATAAATTATGGATGAAATGTGACGAATCTGGTTTCTTATGGCAATTTTAACTCTACACCGGGAAGAGTGAAGATGATATTGAAAAATGTTTGGATGAATGAAATAAAGAAGGTCATTCAGTGTAAAACTTTTAACTAAATTGAGTTGTAAAATTCTTATGCAAAGAACTATTTGGAAAAAACCATTATGTATAGATGGATAAGTTTTTTACATCGTATAACTTACTATCATTTTTGAAAACAAAAAATGTATTTGCTTGTGGCGCAGTTAACATGAGTCTAAAACATTTACCAAAAAATCTGGATGACAAAAAATTACTTTGAGGTAATTTTGACTATGGGATAAGTAATGATGGGATATGTTGCTTCCGGTGGAAGGATAAAAGAGTTGTTTCATCTTTGTCAAGTTTAGAGGATACTGTTACGATAGTTAATGTGGAAAGAAATGGCAAAAAAAGGAGACAAAAGTAAAGTACCTTGTCTACAAGCTATCATAAACTATAATAATCATATGGGAAATGTTGACTATTTTGATCACCTAAAAGGTCTGTATCAGATTGACAGGAAAAGCGTCAAATGGTGGCATAGAATCCCCCCCCCATTTCCTTAATGTTTGTGTGGTTAATTAATTCATATTCTGCAAAGGGTTACCAACAGATAGAAAACATTTAAAAATCTCTAAAATTGATTAGAATGTGTCTAATTGTAGTAAATTTATTAAATATGAGTATTTCCTTGAAAAGAAAAGTCTCAGCGTCCTGTACAAGTAAAAAGCCACAAACCACATATACCAAAAAGTGTACCTCGTAGACGCTGTGCATTATGCAGCACAAAAAAAAGGGGGCAGCGCACATTATGGATGTGCGAAGTATGTGAAGTTCTATTGTGCCTTCAAAAGTAAGGAATTTCTTGTTTAAAAAAATTCCATGAATAATTTTTTAAATGTTTAATATTTATTTTTTCCAATTTTTAAGTATTTGCTTCTATTGTATTTTTGCTGATTTATTAAGTATAAGTCTAAATTAAAGTGTATATTACATTTTTGTCTTCAATTTTTTATTCAAGTATCATATTCATTTGATGTATAGGTATTGCAAATTTATATGTTTTAATAAATTGCAGTAACATTAAAACTCGAAAAGATTTAGTATTTTTTCCAAAAGAAATGAAAATATAAATAAATAATAAAATTTTAACATGAAATCTCATTGAATACCGAATGGACATAAATTTAGCTATGAGTTACCATAGAAAAATATCCTGAGCAGAAGAAAGAGAGGTGAAATGTAAATAAACATGTTGACCTTCAAAATGTTCTGTTCAAATCTGTAGCAAATAAAGCTCTGAAGTGAAAATTTTTATTGTAATCAAGAAAAGTTTCAGGCATCATATTTCGAAGAAAATATCCATCTTTACCGCTATTGAATGCGTCGATGTTTTTGCATGACATCTGTACGTAAGGACAGAATAAAGGACTCTTTTCCCCAAAAAATATTTAAAAACTAATTTTATATGAATTCTGAAGAGAATTTTTCGTGGCATCTGTGCATACATACGTATCTCGCATAACTCAAAAACGAGTAGCCTCAGAATGTTGAAATTGTGTATATAGGAATGCTATAACATGTAGATGTGCACCTTGTATTTTGGTTGCAATCAGTTGCACCAAAAGTATATAAATACACAAATACACCACTCTGTTACTAGGCTTAATGATCTCAGTTTCTTTATTCTTATATGTTTGTGTGGTATCTGCATGCAATATTTGTAGAATTATCAACAATTTAAAAGATGTTTAAGTACGGCTAAGCCTAGTTATTTTTTCCATGGCGGCTATGTTTGTTTGTATTTGAAACTTGGCAGAATAGTGATTTGTTGCCAATCTAGAGAAACTAAGCTTCGCAACAACAAAGATAACACCTTCTTTTATTATTGTGAATTAAATCATGCTTAATACA